TACTAATTCTTGTGTTGAATATAAACGTGCTAATCGTACGAATAAATTAAGCAAATTGCTGCTAAACATGATGCAAATTATTCGCCACTCTTGACACAAACAAACACTGGTATTTATTATCATTTATATTTTAAGTCCTTTAAAAACAACATAATTTTTTTTTCTTTTTAACTTAGATATATATTTTGGTTAGAATCAGTTTGTATAGTATACCGAGTACAGGTTTCACATGCAGAATCCACTTTCGGTAATTTTAAATATGTATACAAATAGATGGTCTTACTCTACTTTCATACATCCCACCAACATTGTATTCACATGTAGCTATCATGCTAGGTTTTGTGGATACATAGAAAACTAGAATTTTACAGAATGATATCACAACACTTTTACATCTGCATTGCATTGTATATGCATATTGGTTCTGCAGTGACACACATGAAACTAGTATTCTAACTAAATAGGCTGCTCTGATATCACACCACACTTTTACTTTGATACATTGCATCTACATTGTATATTAATCCATGGTTATATAAAGACAAAAAGAAAATAAGCAAGCACTACGTCCAATTACACACCATAGAGTGACTCTGGTCGGTCAAAATTACTGTTTTGAACTGTATGCCTTAATCTGTGATTCAACCAACGACGAGGAGAGAAAAATATGTCCCCCCAATGACTCCATTTTTTTCTTCCACGTCACAAACCACATGACTGAGACAAGGCAGGTGATACCATCTTGCTTCATGATCACTTTTGTTTTTCACCGCATCAAGTGTGTATCGTAGCAAGAACAGTGTGATTCAGTCTCCAGTTTTTCAAATTTCATTTCTGTGAGCCGTTGGTAATAGACATATAGTGGCTGGTGGGCTGAGTTTTTCTTATTTTGGGCCCGCCATTTTGTTTGGTCTTTTTGTGTCAACTTTTAACTGTAAATAATTTCACTCATGTATGCCTTGTTCATTTTACAGATGGAGCAGTCCATTTATAGCCTTCACCTCCTAGGTTGTTCCCCCAAAACTGATTTGGCTGTGCCCCTGAAACATGTTGCTCCTGTGGGTTCCTGTGTGGACTACACCTTACAGCATGCCAGAGTTTGCCTACGAGATTCGGGCTTTGGTTGAGGACCAGCCAGGTCCAATTTTGTCTCTTGCATGTCTGGTAGACAAAATACAGGTGGATCAAGTTGCCTCCACTGCAGTTGCTCCTTGTTCAGCAAGGAGGAAGAAGCACACCAGCAAGAGATATTCGTGTTCAGGGAATGCTTTCTCCTGGGATACCAGATGGATTTGGCTCTCCGGCCTCCAATTGGAGGGGAACAAGCAAGGCATATATGTTTTGTACCCCCAAGTAGGCCATCAGAGGTGTCTCAGACACGCCCTTGCTCATTTTTTCCCTTGCCCGTAGTGTAGTGTAAACAAAGGGGAATGTATAGTATAGGAAAGGTTTTGGCATCGTCTTTGTTGTTCGCGTGTCACTATTTCAAAAAATTTAGCCAATTCTTGGTCTCAACTTGCAGACAAGGTTTCAATAGTTTTGCTATGTGTTTTTTTTTTTTGGAAATGTGAAACTGGGTTAATACAGGTGGTGATGATACTGCTGCACTGGACGTCAGTACACATCAACCAGTACCTAAACAACTGGTTGCTACACAACCAACAAGTGGTTGTTCGCCGAGCAATTAATTTACTACACCATTTGGGCATCCTAGTAAATCGAGAAAAGTCCCATCCACAGCCACTACAGCGTTTGGGTTTCTGGGCATGGAGTTCAACATGGACTTAGGCTTGGTACAACCATTGCAGGCTCGTTGCCTAGCACTAAGTGGCATAGCCAAAGTTCTAGTCAACATTATTTTTGTGTCTCTTCGATAGCTGATCTGTATCATTGGAATGATGACCTCAGTTCACAGGGTAGTTGCCAAACTGCGTTATGCATTCGCACTTGGTTGCAGCACTAGGCTCACCTATGGGAGCTGAAGTAGTGAGTAACTCGCGCTCGCCAAGTGTGGGATGCCTTGCCTTGATGAAAGGCAATTGCCAACCTCAGAAGGGGTTACCTTGGTCCCACTTGCCACGGCTAAGACTCTGATAGCAGTTGCCTCTCCTCACAGATTGGAGAGGCACCTGTTATATTAACAAGCCCTGCAAGCATATAAATTGGCTCAAACTGAAAGCAGTGCACTTAGCACTGAAACACTTCC